GGGCGGTTGGCTGATTGCTTAGGACTTGACTCGTCAAAGGTAATCCCTACATGGTAGCCTGATTTTGAAGGACGTCAATGTTCTATCTTGCAGACAGTTCGACAATGATATTATCTGATTTTTTATTTCCAGTTCCAAAGTACATCAACTGAGGCTGTCAGCAATGACACTGGAAATGCTCTCTTGTTTGCTGTAGATGATGAGGAGAGGTAACTATTTACTCCTACTCTGCTCTTTTCTCCATAATTTTAAAGAACATTTTAATATTTTGTTAATCCTGTCAATTTTGGCAATATTCTATTATATTTATTATTCCTTCACAGATGAATTTCGTAATACCTTATAGTTTATCATCCCAGATCATATATAAAAAATCTCATTGAAATCGACTAATTGAGTACAGTGACAATGGATGTACTTCTTCCTTGAAATAATGTATGTATTGGTTTGTGTCGCAGGTATCAGGGATGTGAGCCACTGACATTGCCATGTCCAAGTTGTTCAGGCACTTTTAACTGCCCTTCTGTATTCAGCTCTATCCGTGCGGTAGTTGAGAAACCAGCAAAAATGCAACAAGAGGAATCTACGAGCAATTTCTGGCGAATGCTGTGCTGCCCCAAATGTCCAGAAGAAGGTGACATGGATAGAATGTCTCCTGAAATGATAGCAAACCAGGTATTTGTTGATTTTTTGACTTGAATGTTGCTCTAACATGACATACATTGATTGATTGTCTGGTCATCCTAATACGTTAGAAGATGACACATTGCATGAAATATACAGTCATGTACTAAAAGATGTGCTTTGTCCTCTCTGTCAGGTCAAACGACAAGTGGAGGGGTTTATTTCAATGTACTACAAAGGCTTAATGACGGTAATATACCTTTTGCAAAATCTCGTGTATACAACATAAAAAACTCGAGTTGAGCAGTAATTAGAGCTGATGGCATGTTTGACTTTGCTTTCAGTGTGATGATGAAACTTGCAAACATACTACAAGAAGTGTCAACCTGCGGGTGTTTAGTGGTTCTGAAAAAGGAATGGTTTGTCCAAACCATCCCCGCTGTAATGGGCGTCTTGTGAGAAAGGTTTCATGACAATCCTTTGAACATTTTTTGCCCCATAACGAGCTCTTTATGTTTAAGCTGACATTTATTTTTCCATGAAATGTGTAGTACACGGAAGCAGATCTTTACAAGCAACTAGCTTATTTCTGTCATCTCTTGGACACCACACGCTGCGTAGAGAAGGTAGTTTATTTTTGGTTTACGGCGGATGTTTCGGGCAGCAACTGTTGAATATTTGCAGGTTGTGAATTAGTAGGGTATCTAAGTGTTTGTTTTTTGGTTGTTGTATGTAGATGGAGACAACTGCGAGGATAACAGTTGAGAAAGAGTTGGGTAAGGTTCGACCAGTGGTTGGTTTGGCTGCAAACACAGTTCAAAGAATTCGAGATCGGTGTTCCTTTGGTTGGGTGCAGATGAACGACCTCATCGTCACATGTTGAATCTTTATAATGTATGTATTTGACCTATATTATGTATTTTCTCTGCTCAAGGAAGGCTTTTTATGTAAAACGTGAGAGCAATGATTTATTTGTGTACTGTGAAATAAAGACAAATTAACTTGGGTTGCTCTTAGTTCGCGGGACAAATTGGCCGGTTCATCTAAAATTCAGGTTGGTTTTAGTCCGTTTTGTGTTGAATTTTGGATCAAATTTGGGTCATAATGTTCGAGTTCATATCAGGTCTCGAATCAAATAAATCAGTTTATATTGGGTTCAGATCAAGTTTGTCACGTCTGGCTTAATGATCAGGCCTAATTTGCTCAAGCTATTTGATGCAATGGTTCCTGATGTCCTTGAGAGTTGGTAACTCTTCTCTAATTTTACCTTCAAGAGTGAACAGGGAATATTGTTTCTCGATGTTACAGAGACTAAACACACTGCTAAATTTACTAAAACCTGACCATTTCTAGCAAACGAAAAAAAAGGAATAAAAGAGACCCACTGAACTAATAAGCTTATCAGTTCAGGAGCTGCTCAATATAGGTACTGAATAATTGGAAGATGGATATTCCGAGCTTTACTGAACAGTAACACGTCAGAAGCTCTTCAACACGTTGTGGCACCAAATATTCTCTTTTGGATTCATTAAAACGGTTACAGATGAATATAATAGTTCATTACTTTTTGACATTACATGCTCAAACCGAACTGGTGTGCAAGACTTTGATATCTAGATAATGATGGCAAAAAGTTAGATCTACGACATTTATACGGTTGAATTATAATAGTAGTGTATACGACATTTATGATGCTCTAAACATTCACTATGCCACAAATAAAAGAAAAACGGAAGATGATTTTGGTTCCTAATTACAGAAAACTGGACAGATTTGGCAACAATAGTGATGGGAATTACCTTTGGACATGGTTCATTTTCCCCTGTCAAATGTCAATATATCCACCAGGGAATATCCTTGCATGGTATGGAGGGGTAGAAAATAGTGATTCTGATGAAGAGAAAATACTAATCTTCTCTTCTATTCTCACTTGAAAAATTCGGTTACAAGATTAGTCTTTTATAAAGACTTAACAAATAGTGCTTCGCTTTAAGTAGAACCACACTAGATATTAGATATGATCTTTATCTACATTTAGGATAAGACTTGAATAATACTAAACTACTAAGAGATTGTCATAACGTTCTGAAAAAAAAGTTAGGGTTCATTTTGATTAAATTAGGTTTTCCTTTAAAAATTGAAAAATTGTGTTTTGAGGGAGTTGTCATCAATATTTATTTAGGGTGTGATTAAATCATCCAAAAATATTTTGTTATTTTAATAAAATTTAAATTTAAAAATTATTAAAACAACTTATGGTATACTTTCTAAAAAACGAGGTCAGGAGTCAATTATGTGTGGAGAAAGATTAGCACCAAAATGTCCGAAAATCGATACCTAATCGATTAATTATTGTCTTTGTAATAAAATTTGTGACTTTGAATTTTAATTTAATTAATGATCCCTTTTCAATTGAATAAATACAACGTTATTTAACTAACTAAAGTTCTAGAGAAAAAAGTTAACAATTCATTGTATTTAACTGAAGAGAGTTAATCTCTTAATATGAAGTAGGACGATGCCCTCTCTTTCTATACTAAAGCGATGGATTACCAATATTTATTCTCAAGAACTTAAGGTTTCTAAGGTAAACCGACAACGTTTCAACATTTTGAACTAAGGAGAAATATCTTCTTATATGAAGTAGAGCGGTGATATTTGTATTCTTAAAAAGAAATAAGAAACACTGATATTTTTCCTTACAATTAAGCATTAATTTTATTCACATCGAGAGTATGCGGCAAACAAACATTTTATTACTAAAAATTATCAAGCCTTTAAGATAGATAAATGATATTCAAATATTTACAAATATCGAGGCAAGACTATTTAATAAGATTGAACGACCTATCCTCGTTAAATTTGAATATAAAAATATTATATTTTCTACCCTCCTAATTGGTGTTAATATGTTTCCATTTTATCTAGTTTCACTGAAGGATATTTATTTATTTTAAATCTTTAAAATTGAACTATCAGTTAGGTCAGGACAACCCTCATCGGCAATTTAAAATAAACAAATATTATATTTTAATTAAATATGAAAAGTGTTAAGTTATGCACGTGAAGTTATCATATTTTCGATTGCATAAAGATATCATGCGGTTAATAACATGCTTCAAGAAATATTAATTATAAAATTAAAGAATCAAATCAAAGAATCAAAATTAAAGGTATAAAGAAAATAAACAAATAATTAAATATAAATTGTAAATATAAAAGATATGAGGTAAAAAGATAAAAATACCAAAATTATCAAAAATAGTAGAATTAAATAGTAAATATACAAATAAAAATAATAAAAAATAAAGAATTAAAAATATAAAAGGAAAATAATAAATAATATATGATAATAAATAAAAAAGTAAAGAGAGGTAATTTTTTTAATATAAAATGCCAGTTTTATTGCATTGAAACAAAAGCAACGTTATTTTTAAAAAAAAAAAAGAAAAGAAAAAAAAGTAACGTCTCGCAAAAACAGATGGGATACAACTCAAAAATACTAAACTGAAAAACACGTGTCCCTAAACAAATAAAATAACGTAAACAATCTGGCATTTCGTCTTCTTCCTTGTGAAATGAAACGTTGATACGAGCAAAGCAAGAAGAAAACAATCTTTCCCTAAAATAGAGCCTGGGAATCAAAACACCGCCCGTCTATCCTACGCAACTTGAAGTTCCACACAACTAGGACCTTCTTCTACCCAGAAACGGTCTTCCTCTCTGAAATCCATAGCAGATGTCAGCAAGTGAGCCGCTTTGTTGCCAGATCTTGGGGTGTACTGAAATTTTCATGAACGAAAAGCTTCTCGTCGCCGTCGAAATTTTCATGTTATCGCACTTGCTGACATCTGCTATGGATTTCAGAGAGGAAGACCGTTTCTCAGTAGCAAAGAGGATCGCATGCAGCGCCGCCTTCTCCTGCGCCATGAAAGCTGAGGTAATGTTTTTGCTAAAACGACGACATGCACCAAGTAAATATCCTTCATTATCTCGAGCAATAATCCCTGACCATGCCTCTATTTTCTTCTGTACAAAATGAGCATCGAAATTCAACTTGACTAGGGAAGGAGCCGGTGGGTTCCATCGCGCTATGGCTATTTCATGATGTCCACGCAGTTGAAGATTTTCCCTATTATAGTCGTCATTGAGAACGAACCAAGGTAATTACCTCTTCTTTTCTTGTAGATTGCCCTTGATGAAGAAATTTATTTCTGATAAACCATAGTGCCCATATTATTACAAAAAATTCTGGATGTTTGTTTTCCTGGTTCTGTCTAAATAACCATGATAGCCATTCCGTAAACTCCATCGCTTCGATGTGGGGAGGCCATTGAAATCCCAAATCTGGCCATACTTGTCGGGGTGCTAGACAGTCACGAACACGTCCCATGAGCACCAATGAATCCCACGTTTCTGTCAGATTTTTGCCACCAAAACTGCGCCATTAAACTTTCGAGCTCCTTACAAAGGGTTTTAGGTAAGAGGAAACGACTCATAGCAAACATCGGAATGGCTTGAAGAACAGACTTGATGAATACCTCCTTCCCACCTTGCGAAAGCGCTCTGATACACCATTTCCTTATACGACTTCGGAACTTGTCTTTTAGATTTGCAAAAGTGACGGTCTTGCTTCGACTGCATCGGATTTGATGACACTTACACCTCTAAGATCCGGTGAACATTGTTAAGGTTCTCATCTATGACATTGGAACTGAAGAAAAGACCAGATTTTGTCTAAATTTATTTGTTGACCCGATTTGACCTGCAGAGCCATTGAGTTGTCACTTCGGCAAAAATAAGGCTATCGTATGGGAATAAAAGGTGAGATATAACTGGAGCATAACGATTAATTCTCACTCCATGAAACTCCTCCCTCAACACAGCATGCCAAATTAAACTAGACAAGCCCTCACTACATATCAAAAAAAGATACGGACTTAACGGATCCCCTTGCTTTAGCCCCCGCTGCGAAACAAATTTCTCACCCGCCAAACCATATAGTATAACCAAATACGACACCGAACAAACACAACGCTGAACCTTCTCAATCCAAGTCGAGCAAAAACCCATTTTAGACATAATTTCCCAAAGAGATCCCCATTCTACTCTGTCATACGTCTTGCTCATATCAAGATTTAGTGCATAAAAACCCTTCTTTCCAAATCTCCTCTGCTGAAACGAATGCAATACCTCATACGTCGTAATTATATTATCAGTAATCAATTGACTTAGCACAAAAGCACTTTGTGCTTCGTCGATACACCTCTCTAAAAAAACATGCATACGGACCACCAACATTTTCGAGACAATTTTATACAATACGTTGCATAAACTTATCGGAAGAAATTGACTCAAATTAGTAGGAACAACCACTTTCAGGATTAAGACTATATATGTATTATTGATATCGCTCATGTCCACACGTCCTTCGACTACCTCAATACAATAAGTCGCTGTTGGGAAAAAAACGAGAACGAGTAATTTCTCTATAACCAGATTAGTGAGAATGCGAAATAAAAACGGAAAAATAATACCCGAAATTGATAACAGAGTTCAGCCAATTGTTCCTACGTCTCCGGACTGCCGCAGATCTTTTACTAAGAGAGAAAATTTACAGGTGTTTACAAAACACTCACTGCTCACAAGAAACTCTCTAGTATTGGGAGAAAGAAATGATTTGGAATGATCTTGAAGCTAAATGGGTTAGGGTATTTATAGTTGAAGCTTAAGGACTAATCTTATAAATACCCTAAAGTCCAGTGACTAATTATAATTATCCCATTACAATTTTTCAACAAACATCTACCAAACTTTGAAAAACCATTTTTCAAAGAAACATTTACCAAACTTTGAAAACCATTTTGTCAAAGTTGGTTGCCAAACTTTGAACTTTTAACAATCTCCCACTTGAACACTGATTTTAATCTGTCTTCACACCTCGATCAATGCAGCAGCTTTTCTAGTCTTGTTACTCTAGCATGCCAACTGAAGTTGAACACAACTTCAGATTTTCCGTAGTCACCGTCTTTGTTAACATGTCTGCCGGATTTTGAGCTCCACTAATCTTTTCAAGTTTCAAAATCCCATCTTCCAGAAAAGACAGGATAAAATGATATCTCAATTGTATGTGCTTCGTCCTGGAATGAAAAGACGGATTCTTTGCTAGATGGATAACACTTTGACTGTCGCAATACAAGACATTGTTTTCTTGCCTAACTCTTCCAAGAAACTTTGGAGCCAGACCATCTCCTTGCTGGCTTCCGTAACAGCGACATATTCTGCTTCAGTTGTGGAGAGAGCAACTATCTTCTGTAGTTAAGAAACCCAACTCACTGCAGTACCTCCTAGAGTATAGGCATACCCTGTAGTGCTCCTTCTGATGTCAACATTTCCAGCTAAGCCAGCATCTACATAGTCTGTCAGTATCGCATCTCCACCTTTGAAATAAAGTGCTTTGTTTGTGGTACCCCGCAGATATCTGAGGATCCATTTGACTGTTTCCCAGTGTACTTTGCCTGGATTATTCATGTAACTGCTAACAGTTCCCACTGCATGAGCAATATCTGGTCTAGTACAAACCAAGACATACATTAGACTTCCAATTGCTGAGGCATACGACACCTTCACCATGTGTGCACGTTCTTCCTCCGTCTTTGGTGATTGTTCTTTGGAGAGTCTAAAATGAACACCTAAAGGTGTACTTACTGGTTTAGCATCTTGCATGTTGAACCTGGAGAGTACTTTGTTGATGTACTCAGCCTGTGATAACATCAAAGTCCTCGACTTTGTGTCTCTCTTAATCCTCATCCCAAGGATCGCTTTGTAGCGTCCAGATCCTTCATAGCAAACTGATTCGACAATTTTTGCTTCAAGTTTATAATCTCTTGCATGTCTGAGACTGCAACGAGCATGTCATCAACGTACAATAATAAAATAATGAAGCCATTTTCAAATCTCTTGATGCAACAACAATGATTTGCTTGGCATATGATAAAACCACTGCTACTCATGAAGCTATCGAACTTCTTGTACCACTGTCTAGGAGCTTGTTTTAAACCATACAAACTCTTCTTCAACCTACATACCAGATTTTTCTTGCTTGCCTCTATGAAGCCTTCTGGCTGCCTCATATAGATTTCTTCCTCCAAATCACCATGAAGGAAAGCTGTCTTTACATCTAACTGCTCAAGATATAGATTTTCTGCAGCTACAATTTTCAACACCAGTCTGATTGTAGATAGTTTTACGACTAGAGAGAAAATTTCATTGCAGTCAATACCTTCTTTTTGCTGAAAACCTTTGACAACCAATCTTGCTTTGTAGCATTTGCTCCCATCATGCTCTTCTTTGATCCTGTAAATCCACTTGTTGTGGAGCGCTTTCTTGCCTGGTGGTAATTCAGCTAATTCCCACGTCTGATTTGACATAAGCGAGTCCATCTCATCTTTCATGGAAGACTCCTACTTGACTGAATCCTCCACTTGCATTGCTTCGTCATAGCACTCTGGTTCACCATTGTCAGTCAGCAACAAGTAGTGCAAAGAAGGAGAATACCGTTGGGTTGGTTTAGGAATCCTGGAGGAGCGTCTCAGTTCTGGTGTGCCTGGTTCTTCTTGAACTGCTTCAGGACTGATCTGAACATCATTTCCAGAAATCTCCTCGAACTCAGCAAATTCCTTTATTTCAGCTTCGGTATTGGAGCTACTTGATTCTATGGTTGACATGTCTTTGTACATCACATTCTCATTGAAAATGACATCTCTGCTTCTAATGATCTTCCGATTTTCTTAGTCTCAAAACCGGTAACCGAACTCATCACCGCCATAACCAACAAAGACACATTTGTTGGACTTGGCATCAAGTTTACTTCTTTCAGCAGAGTTTATGTGTACATAAGAAATACAACTAAACACTCTTAAGTGTGAAAGGTTTATTTATTTCTTGCTCCAAAATTCTTCTGGTATTCTACCATCCAAGGGAACTGAGGGCCCACGGTTGATCAGGTAAGTTGCAGTATTGATAGCTTCAGCCCATAGCATTTTGGGCAAGCTGGCATATATCCTCATACTTCTGACACGTTCATTCAGAGTTCTGTTCATGTGCTCTGCTACGCCATTCTGCTGCGGTGTCATGGGAACTGTTATCTCCATCTTGATCCTATTGTTTGCGCAGAAATCTCTGAATCTTCTATTTTTTGTACTCTCCTCCATTATCAGACCTCAACTGCTTGACTTTCAAACCATTTCATTTTCCACCATGGCCTTCTATTTTCTGAATGTATCAAAGACTTCTGATTTCTTCTTCAGAAAATAAACCCACACCTTCCTTGTAGAATCATCGATGAAGGTGACATAATATAGTGAGCCTTCAAGAATGGAACTGGAGATAGTCCCCATACATCAGTATAAACCAACTCTAACTTTTCTGCCTTGGGTATCTTGCCAATCTTTGCAAAACTGACTTTCTTTTGTTTGCCAAAGATGTAATCATCGCATAGTCTGACATCTACACTCTTTAGATCGGGCAGCTTCCCTTTTGATAAAAGTGTCTTATTCCCTTTCTCGCTCATATGGCCAAGCCTTTGGTGCCATAGGTTTGATTTTTCATCAGCATCTGCTACTGCAATGATATTCTCTAAATTTGAGGTTACATAGAGAGTACCAGTCTTCTTACCACGAGCAATGACGAGTGTTCATTTGGTAATCTTTCATTCACAGCCTGAAAAGGTTGTGCTATATCCTTCTCAATCAAGCTGTCCTACATAAATCAAATTTCTTTTGAGGCCATGAATATGTCTTACTCCTTTCAGCATCCAAGTGGTCTAGTTTGGCAACTTTAATCGGATGTATCATTTTTCGACGATCTTCAAGGTTTCATCATCAGCTAGACGAACCTTCCCAAAATCACCACTGACATAGTTCTCCATGATTTCTCGGCATGGGGTGGAGTGGAAAGATGCCCCTGAATCCAAGATCCATTATTCAATCGGACTGTTGACGCTTAGAATCATGGAATCACCTGTCTCCTCTGTCACGTTGGCAGATTCCTGTGCGCCGGTATTTTTCTTCGGTGCTCGACAATCTCTTTTAAAGTGACCATTCTTGCCGCAGTTATAACAGGTAAAATCTTTCTTTCCCGTTCTTGATTTTCCCGTTCTGGATTTGGATCTGCCATGATTTGAATTTCTTTATGAAGTTCTCCCTCTGGACTCCGTGTGTAAGGCTGAGGAGGTTGATGCTTCACCTGATTCTCTCCGTCGAATTTCTTCGCTCAGTACCAGATCCCGAACATCGTCGAATTTCAATTTGCTGTTTCCCGACGAGATGCTAACTGCTGTAACAGTAGCATTCCAACTGTCTGGTAGAGATGATAAGAGAATTAAAGCTCGAACTTCATCATCGAATTCAATTTCCACGGAACTCAACTGGGTTGTGATTGTGTTGAGTTCATTTAGGTGTTGAGCCACTGATGCCCCTTCCGCCATCCGCAAATTGAATAATTGCCTCATCAAATGAACTTTGTTTGAGACCGATGGCTTCTCATACATACTGGAGAGAGCCGCCATAAGACCCGCCGTGGTCTTTTCCTTTGCTATGTTGAAAGCAACATTGCGGGATAACGTCAGTCGGATAACTCCGAGGGCTTGTCTGTCGAGAAGAGCCCAGTCTTCATTCTTCATGCTCTCTGGTTGCTTTCCTGAGAGAGATTGATATAGATTTTTATGGTACAAAAAATCTTCAATCTGCATCTTCCAAAAGCCAAAGTCCGCAACATCGAACTTTTCAATTTTCACCTTCCCTTCGTCTGCAGCCATCGCTCTCACTCGAATCTGGCTTCTTTGGATCGTTTCTGACAATTTTTGTTAACCGCCGTGTATTAGAACACCTCCGTTGACAATCTCGTATCGTCGAATTTTTTTTACTATTCACAAAATTCACCATTCACGTGAATAGTAATGAATAGTAATATCGCAAAAATTGACAAAATTCACAACCAAAAGCTCTGATTACCAGTTGTTGGGAAATAAACGAGAACGAGTAATTTCCCTATAACCAGATTAGTGAGAATGCAAAATAAAAACGGAAAAATAATACCGAAATTGATAACGGAGTTCAGCCAGTTGTGCTTACGTTTCCGGACTGCTGCCGATCTTTTACTAAGATAGAAAATTTACAGGTGTTTACAGAACACTCACTACTCACAAGAATCTCTATAGTATTGGGAGAAAGAAATGATTTGGGATGATCTTGAAGCTAAATGGGTTAGGGTATTTATAGTTGAAGCTTAATGACTAATCT